ATATTGAAAAGAAATGTTATTATATATCTTATTTTTTTAATGGAAATCCAACTGATCATAATCTAACACTCCCCTCCCTCTACCGTCAGCCAGATCCACAGTTGTGGCATTCATATAAATGTCTGCCAGCTGTAAAATCTCTATGTGCCCAGAACTGGTGTATCCAGCACCAAAGCCACACATCCCTGGATTTTCATGCAACTTTCCAGCTTGGGAACAGTGTCAACATTGGTTGCTGTGATGAATCGATTTATCATGTTTCTGACTGGACTTGTTGTACTGTCCCCTGTTGGAACTGTCCCCAATCTCCCTCTTCATTTGGAGCAGTGAGAGGGCCCCACAAATGGCACTATAAGTTAAACAGAAATATTACCAGGAATTATATTTTTTTATGATCAAAATGAAAAAAAATGTATATGGGAGAAGCAAATTCTCCTAATTGTCCAGATTCAGTCAGTGCAAATTCCTACGATAGTATCCTCATCTAAGGAATGGTTTAGATTGAAGACCTGAGGTTAAAGCCAGAAAAAGTGTGAGTTAAAAGTTAAAATTTGTTGAAATTAACTCTGGCTGGAAACAGAAAACAGCTTTGGGCACTATTAGGGATAGGGACAACCTAATAGTCAGAGACGACAACGACGAGGACTACAGAGAGGAGTTGGAGCAGCTAGTGGACTGGTGCAGAGACCCACCTGATCCAGAATGTGGAGAAAACGAAGGAGATAATCATTAATTTCAGGAGAAATCAGCCTAACCAATGCTAATCAACAGCTCAGCTTTAGAGGTGGCCAGCAGCACCAAATTCCTGGGGGTACACATCACAGGCATTTTTAGCTGGACTGTAAACACCACCTCACTGATCAGAAGGGCACAAAAGCGCATGTGCATTCTGAGGAGGAAGAGGAGAGCTCACCTACCCCCACCCATCCTCACCACCTTTTACAGAAGCACCAGGGAGAGCTTTCTGACCAGCTGTCTCACTGGGTGGTGTGGAGGCTGCAGCGCCTCTTCCCAGCATTCAATGCGGGTCAAGCAGATTCCAAAACAGCTTCTTCCCCACGGCGATCAGACAGCTGAATGCTGAAAAAAAAAACGACAAAAGACAAAACAAAAAAAGTTGAATGTTGAAAAAATGTTTGATTAAATTGTGTCATAGACCATATCAATGCGCTTTTTTGCACCGTGTTTTTTTCTCCCAATGTTCACATTTGAGGCACTTTAACAAAATTTTAATGTCATGGGTGCTGTAAAAATTTAAATTTTGTTTTATATACACTCCGTGTGTACAAAATGACAATAAAGTTTGTCTAAAAAAAGACAGAGGTTTGGGGTTGCCGAGATTTCGATGAACAAAAAACTCAGAAACCACTAGCCCTCTCAGAGGGTTATTGGCTTCTTCTGCTTAAAAAATAACCAAGGCGAGGGCGATGCCACAGCTGGATTCATAAGACGAGATTTAGAAGTTTTAATCTCAGCAAAGTGCTGAGTCACTGAGATCAGAGGGAAATCCATGTGGACCTGTGAGAGTCAAAGACAGGCAGGCCAATTCAGGCTAGATAATCTGTGGGATAGGCAAGGTTTTAATGGTTGTGGTGGACACACTGGAGGCTGATAAGTTGTTCAACAAGTAAAAGACAGGGAAATCAAGCAGGTAGAAACTTGGTTGAGAGCAGGAAGAGAAGAAGGCAGGGAAAAAATATGAACATTTACACATGCAAGGCTTTCAATAATCTGGCATTGCCAATCAGCAGAAATCAAGTGTATAAAAGCAGCTGAGCATATGCAGGGAATAAGCTTTACTGAGGTGCTTTGGAGAGTAGCTCAGATGTGCATCTGATAAAGCTGAAAGCAGAAAAGCAGGAGGAGATTAAGAAAATACATACAGGCATGCCAGAATCGTAAAAATCCAATCATGTGTAATGACCATACGTTGGTTTTGTGTCCGTTGGTCATCATGTACCCATTTGGTCCGGCATACTCATCCATTAAACCTGGCTAAATAGGGTTTTAAAATAAGGTTTTATTTTTTGTTACACCAGTGTTTTGATAAATTGAATAGGACAGTTTAATGGGGAATTTTAAGATTATTTTAATTTTTTTAAAATATGGCCATTAGTACATTTAGCAAACTATTAGTAAATATTAGCATAATTAGAAAGGTGAGCTAATGGCTGTAGCAGGAGTGTGTATTTACTTTATTTTATCTGTTTTTATTTAAAAAAAAACAGGCCTTAAACTTTCCAAGGTTCAATTTAAATTTAAATTTTAAGAGTTAAAAAAAAAAAATATATATACAAATGTTTCTTAGTTGGCTGTGGCCCTGTTGTAACACCTCTCACTGCTCTAAACTATTACCAAAATCATTTAAAAAAAGAAAGTTACATATTTTTTCTTTTATGTTTTTTTCATCACTAAGCAGCAGACGGCTCTCTCTGCAGAAGCCATCTGTCCTCTAGCAGCGTGATGAGCTTCATCCATATGTCCAATTAAAGACTAAGGTCCTAAGACTTTAGAAAAAACTGCACCTATCCAAAACTATACAATCAAATATTATATTAAATCTGAATATCCCATTATACAGTAGGACCTTAATAAAAAACCATGGGCGTAGGTTTGCATAGGGACCATAGGGACATGTCCCTACCAAAGTTTTGAACCGACCTAATTGTCCCTACCAATAATTGGATGTGAGCAACATGTTTATAATTTACAGCAGTAGTTGTTGCAGCAGAGGCTTCTTTTCCTCTCGCAGCTCCTCTGCCTGCTCTATCCTGTCCCTTTCACGTAGCAGCGCAGCGCTGTGCTGCACTGTTTAACTCCACTCTCATTGGTTGTACTGCCTTAGGTTCCGCCTTCTCTCTCTCTGATTGGCTGTTTTCTAGTCCTGGCGTGCTTGGAGCACAAAATTGAAAATGTATTCACACTAGAATGCAGCGGTTACTACAATAAATATTAGGCTACAAAACAAGTCCCAATTAAAAAAAATGAATATCATGTACACTAAAAAACAAAAACCTTTTTTTTTCTTTTATAAAGCGAAATATTCTGAGTCAGCCAGGATTTCTGAAGACACAAAATGGGCAAATAAAGGCTGTTCGATTCTTATCCACAGCCAACTAAAAAAGAAAATGTGAGGGTTTCCTTTTTCCCAATATTTAGTTGCTATTACTGTTTTCATTTTTTATGACTCTTTGAGAAAGTTCAGGTATAATTATTAGCAGGCGTTATTTCTCTTATAGAGTACAACAACAAGAAATGGTGGCTAATCATCTGCTGTTTTTCATTTAAAAAGCATAATTAGGGTTCCACATAATAATAGTTCTATTTTATTGACTATTTATACTTCTAGAAATAGGATAAAGACAATAACAAACAAAGGAAGAATATAAACATTGATTTTATCTTACATAGATTTCCACACAGTCTAAGTAAATTAGTACAAACATTAATGTCTGGTAAAAATGCTTGAATCTGGGTGTTTATTTTGGATAATGTTAAATTACAGATAAGATAGTGTTATATTGTCTTTTATAATTGTTAAAAATTATTTTATATTTGAATACACTTAGGCTCACTCTTAGTGTTGTGTTTGTAAATGATTCCACTAAAAAAGAAAATAGACATACAGTAAGGAGCTATTTAAACAGTCAGACAGTAAGCAATATAGGACAATGATAAAAGGTTGTGTAACATTTAATCCTTTACTATTAAAATTGCACTTATACATTATATGATTATAGGAAACACAGATATCCAGTAATAATGATGCAGGGCAGCTTGTAGGTGAAGCAGCTGCCCTTCAGTGCTTCAGGTGATGTCTAAATAAACCAGGTGAAACTAAAATATTTCCACATGAGGAGTTCTGGATGGAGAATATTGACAGACAAAATTTTTTTTTTAATCTTATATATATATATTGTATTTTTACAATTTTGGTATAATTACTGATCTAAGTTGATTGCTCTATAGGGGAAAGGGACATTTATTTTACATTTATATTATGTTTTATAGTCTCCATTCTCCAGTTAATGATTAATCACATACTAAATTAGTTGACGATTATTGAAATAATAAATTAATACGATAAATTTTTTCAGCCCTAGATAAAATACATGAAATGGGCTATACAGAGTAACTAGAGCCCAGATGTTCAACTTTTATAGTGAAGTTAATATTTTAATGAATGTATTATTTTGCTTGATACAGAGAGAGCATAGTAGGTAAAATATAAGAGTGGGGTTTAACTCTGCACAATTGTATATCTTCAAAAGAAAATACTGTATTTACCTTCTCTATTAGTCATGCAAATGAAACCATTTACAAAGTGGAAAACAGTCCTAATTCCACATTCATCAGAGCCAGTGATACTTCAAACATTGATAAACAGCATCTAATGAGTGTAGTGATTATACAATTTTTATTAATGTAGCAAAATGATGCTTTTCTCTTTTAACAATGAATTCGTCTTATCAGTACGGATGCTCACATCGAGCATAAAAAAGGGCACGCATATTGCAGCACCAATGACACCAGACCAATAGTGTCCCCACCAAAGTTCAAATCAAACCTACGCCCTTGTAAAAAACTATATCGTTTTATGAGTCTCAAACACCAAATAAATTACAATTTCATAATAGAAATAGTAATAAATTAAATATCAAACTCCTGATGATGCATTCACCAGATTTCTGTCTCTAGTACCACCATGCTTTACTGTAAATTAACTCCAATTATTCTATCAAATTAAAGACATCTCACTCACATTTGTTATTTTTTCCCTTATTTTTCACTATAATCTTCTCCAAAGGAACTCAGCCAATGTAGAAAACTTAAATTTAGAAGGCTAAATGTGTTAAGCTGACATTACTATCCAAGTGTGCATTAACTTTTACGCTGTAAGCCTGAAATCCCCGAGTCTTCGATTTACTCTTGTTGATATATTGGAACAGATGGGTCTCCAGCTTTAACATAGTGTCTTTGTTTTGCTTTATTTTCGGCAGGTAAGCCCAAAGTGGAGCTGACCTACGACAGAATGTACACAGTTACCAGTCGGGTGACATTCACCGTCACCAAGGAGGACGACGGGATCCCTGTAACCTGCATCGTGGACCACCCTGCCGTCAAGGACTTCAGAGCACGCAAATATCTGGAGGTTCAGTGTAAGTACTCTGGCTTTTTCTGTTCACACGCTTGAATTGGTCACTGAGCTTTTTTTTATTTCACTTTTAATCATAAATGATGAATTAGATTTTTTGATTTTCAAGAGTAAATAAAAAGGCATTATAGATACTTCCAATAAAAAAAAAAACAGCACAAGTCCATATTGAAATGCAATGTTTTTATATTTAAGACAATTACACTACAAAGCCATGGATCAGAGAAATTAAATCAGATTTCCTTTTTTTTTTGGAAAAGAAAAGTTAATTAAAAGTTAAATTAATAATACTGTGTTAGAGAAAGCTGAGAGTATTTGCTTAGAATCAGCAGTTGAGACTTGGGGCAAAGGCAACAAGCCATTAAATTATTATTATTACTAATGGTGTAATGATGCTTACATCCATGTCTAAACCTTAGTGCCCAGTGCTAGTAAGAGCTGAGGTTTAGTGCTAGTGATGAGTGGAATTTAATAACTTCATATAATGTCAGTTCATAAATAAATTGTCCACATAGTCTATAAATAGCAGGAAAGTTGCAAAAACAAGCTGTTGATTTGCATTAAAAGAAAAGCATGACATGTTTCTTCAAAACAAATGTCATATTCATTTGTTAAAGTAAAGAATTTCACATTTACATTAGCATGCATGGTATTTACCACATATATTAGATTTGACAGCATATCTGTTTATTTGATATAATTATCTTATTTTAATCCTATGTTTTTTTTTTTTATGAGTTAGAAATGTGGAAAAATACTTAGTTTTACTTTACCTTATGGGTCTTGCTGCATTACCAGTGCTTTTTTCCTCCACCTATTTGAAGAGGAGGTCAGTGAAAGCAGCATAATGCAGCAGAGAACATTAATGCTGCAGTTTCTGACGGTGGAGAGAGCAATAGACGAAGAAGCTTTGAACGCTGCTTTTGTTTTTAATAATAATGCAACCTGTTAAGATCCACCTCCAAATGTTGCTCTGTCCAAGTATTCAACATTAAAATTGGCCATCTGCTTTGAAAAACTGCACTTTTGAAGTGCTTAAGAGCAGATTTTTATTCAGGTATCTGAAGGGCGCAACAAAGTAAAAAAATCGCCCTCCTCGAAAAGTCAAACTCTTGCAATTTTGCACCCCCAACTGAGCAATAAAATATATTTTTTCCAGTTAGATGTTCACATTTATATTGCTACAACATAGATTATTTAAAGCTTGAAGTAAAATAAACCAACCTGATATAAAAACATCAAAAAGGGTCTTGCTTTTCTTCTTATTAACCCAAATTTCTTACCGAAGGTTAACCATTAAGATGGGAAAGGAAGGAGAGAAAAGACAGTTGAAATAAGAGCAAGTTACAGAAACATGGAGAACTTGTCAGGTTGTGTGGAGGTTTTTGGAGGACCCAAATGCAGAGACAGAAGGTGAGGCGCAGATTTAATAACAAATGGTGGGAGCAGATGCTTAAATCCAAAATAACTAATCACCAAACACAGGAACCAGAGCAAAGGGGTCAAGGAGGGAATGAATGAACGAATAAAGAGAATCCAGCAAACAGTACCTGTAGAGGAGGAGTATAAATGCCAAATGGAACAAAGAATGAAGTAATCAACTAATTGGGAGCAGGTGTGGACAGAAGGATCTAGAAGGCAGCTAGTGGAAATGAGACAGACTGAGAATAAACAAGAAATACATAAGGACTCAAATACAACCAGAAAACAACTAGAATGACACAAAATGGAACCAATTACCTAGAAAACACAGAATGGCATAAATCAAAGTGTAACTGAAAAAAGGCAAACTTAAACAGAACCAAAAAGCCTAAAATTAGAGTGGAATATAGAAAAGTGAGTTAATGTGGCATTTTTATCAGCAAGCAGTTCAAGCCTATAGTATAACTAGAGAAATGGCTCAACATAACTGATGTCACTCTAAATATAAGCTTTACCTTATATAGAATGTTTAAGACCCAGTCTTAAAGTAGACAGGGCGTCTGCCTTTTGGAAAAAATTTATTTCCACAGAAGTACAGCCTGAGGACTAAAAGATGTTCCCATTCTAGGAACAACAGGTCAGTCTGAAGCACACTGCTCTGTTATGAACATAATAAAAATCTGATTTCCAATGTGTGAATTAAGAGCCGATCATAATTTACAGTGGTTAGAAAAACCACTGCTTTCAGCTAAAATGTCTTGGAAAAGTTGAACACTCAGAATCTTCAGGGTTTTTTTTGTTCAGTAAGGCTTTGTTGCGGTTTAGACTAAACATAATGTCATACATGGTGTGAATTAAGAAAGAAACAATGTGTGGTATGCATTAGTGTTTAGCATCCCTTAACTATGATCGCCCTCCATAAAGATCAGCTGTTCTGTTTTGCCTCGAAGGTTTGTTAGAGAACATCGGGGGAACATATAGTCTCATAAAGACCACGGAGCACCGCAGGCAGGTCAGGGAGAGAGCTGTTGATATTCCTATATACATGATCCCCACTGTGAAACAAAGTGGTGGCAGGATGATGCTGGAAGGATAGATTTACCTAGCAGGGACAAGGAAACTATGCAACAGTGTTTGTGCTTGTACAGTGCTTCTCTTTGCAGCTAGTCATTAAGTATGAAAAGTTTTAGGTTTTGTTTCTAGTTGATGATCAGATGTATGTTTTATTTCACCAGACTGTTGAGTTTCTCTATTGACGAAATCTGATCAAAGTTGCGCTCAGTGCATCAGAAATCTGCCCAGTCTGAGCAGCGAATGCTGATCATAGTCGATCATCAGTAAAGAAAAAGCAACATGTGGCCTTTTGACACATTATGAGTAAAATAGGAACACGCCCTGGTAAGATTGTTGACAACAAAAGGCCCTCGTTGTTCAAAAGAACAGCACGTAAAACAGCGGAAAAAAAGACGTCTGGCTATTTAAGAACACTCTGCAGGAGGTAGACAGGCATGTCAAAAATGGAAAACTTGATGAGGGCAAAAACAACGGAATCCCCCAACATGTGCAAATTACCATTATCAGACTGAGAGACCAGATCAGAAGCAGTTGGGCCGATCAGTCCAACTTCATCTTTACTGGGATTGAACACAGCTACACTATATTGCCAAAAGTATTTGCTCACCCATCCAAATTATTGGAATCAGGTGTTCCAATCACTTCCATGGCCACAGGTGTATAAATTCAAGCACCTAGGCATGCAGACTGTTTTTACAAACATTTGTGAAAGAATGGGTCGCTCTCAGGAGCTCAGTGAATTCCAGCGTGGAACTGTGATAGGATGCCACCTGTGCAACAAATCCAGTCGTGAAATTTCCTCGCTCCTAAATATTCCACAGTCAACTGTCAGCTGTATTATAAGAAAATGGAAGTGTTTGGGAACGACAGCAACTCAGCCACGAAGTGGTAGGCCACGTAAACTGCCGGAGCGGGGTCAGCGGATGCTGACGCGCATAGTGCGAAGAGGTCGCCAACTTTCTGCAGAGTCAATCACTACAGACCTCCAAACTTCATGTGGCCTTCAGATTAGCTCAAGAACAGTGCGCAGAGAGCTTCATGGAATGGGTTTCCATGGTCGAGCAGCTGCATCCAAGCCATACATCACCAAGTGCAATGCAAAGCGTCGGATGCGGTGGTGTAAAGCACGCCGCCACTGGACTCTAGAGCAGTGGAGACGCGTTCTCTGGAGTGACGAATCGCGCTTCTCCATCTGGCAATCTGATGGACGGGTCTGGGTTTGGCGGTTGCCAGGAGAACGGTACTTGTCTGACTGCATTGTGCCAAGTGTAAAGTTTGGTGGAGGGGGGATTATGGTGTGGGGTTGTTTTTCAGGAGCTGGGCTTGGCCCCTTAGTTCCAGTGAAAGGAACTCTGAATGCTTCAGCATACCAAGACATTTTGGACAATTCCATGCTCCCAACTTTGTGGGAACAGTTTGGAGCTGGCCCCTTCCTCTTCCAACATGACTGTGCACCAGTGCACAAAGCAAGGTCCATAAAGACATGGATGACAGAGTCTGGTGTGGATGAACTTGACTGGCCTGCACAGAGTCCTGACCTCAACCCGATAGAACACCTTTGGGATGAATTAGAGCGGAGACTGAGAGCCAGGCCTTCTCGTCCAACATCAGTGTGCGACCTCACAAATGCGCTTCTGGAAGAATGGTCAAAAATTCCCATAAACACACTCCTAAACCTTGTGGACAGCCTTCCCAGAAGAGTTGAAGCTGTTCTAGCTGCAAAGGGTGGACCGACGTCATATTGAACCCTATGGATTAGGAACGGGATGTCACTTAAGCTCATATGTGAGTCAAGGCAGGTGAGCAAATACTTTTGGCAATATAGTGTATCTGTGTTCAGAGCATTTTGAATCCATATTTTTTTCCTCTCTCGCTTTGAGACATCAGATTTGCAGTCACATTTCACTGTGTACAAAGTAGCTACATGGAGGAGAGACACTCAGCAGCACTCAGTGAATATTAACCAGCAGCTACTTCGATGTTTAAGTAAAAGATCGGATACCAGTTGGTTAAAAAAATTTGAGATCATACCACTGAAAATATGTTTGTTTGAAATACAGAGTTTTTTCTGCTAACAAGCTAAAATGGCAACAAATTGTAAGTTTATAGAAGTTAGTATTATAATGCAAGAAGCTTAAGAAAACATAGTTTGTTCTTTACTAGTTAAAAAAGCTTGGCTTTTCAGAGGACCATGACTCCCAGTTACAGGTTAAAATTAACATGTTTTCTTATTGTACAGATAGAATCAGACTGCAGAGCTTCTACATATCTTGAAATTTTGTTTTTGTCATCATTATATTAGTAAAGAGGTTGATAAATCTTTTTAAACAGAGCACAGATAGAAGTAGGCAGATTTAAAGGGGAAACACATTTACTGGGATATGCAACATGCAATAAAATATATCTCCAAGTTTACTGGTAAGTTTACAAGAAAAAAATATGCTAAGCTATATTTAAAATGCAGCATATCCATATTTTTCTGGATGGATGGATAAAATTGAAAATGTA